GGAGCATATGTTAGTCCAGTGCAGAGTATAACTAGTTTGTGCTCCACTCGAAAGACAGAGTGAATATTCAGATAAAGCAATACACCCGTTGCAGCTATATAGCTTAGATACCTTAATATCCCTTCATTAATTCTAAGAAATAGACGCCCTCGTGTACCTGACTGGGCATATTTCAATTTCTAGTCAGTAGTCTAGTAGTGAAATAAAAAGGCCAGCAGTAACTCAACAATTAGAAAGAAAGAAAAACTACTCTGAGTAGAAAATAAACATCAAGAATTATCGCAAATATCAACAATAACATAGAAGAACCTGCTCCAGGTGCATAACTTGAACTAATAGACACACAAGTAAAGGCTTGTTGTGATGGGCTCCCACATAAGGTAGTTTCCGCTACCAGATGTGAACGAAGTGTAGCTCACTACAACTCAACTTAACTATATGATGGCACCCTAGGTTATCACTGACATGGATACGACCCAACAAACTTGATATGCTTATTCTTCACATGGCATCTCTGTTCCAAGTAAAAAGGAAAATCATAACAAGGATAAGATGGAAGCAAGGTAAATAAATATAAATATAAATGAATAAAGCGAATTGGCAAGACATGTAGGTGTACAATGGCAGGCAAATGTAGAGCGCACTCTAAATTTATATTAGTACATTCGAGCGATGTGGATCAAATGCTTTATATCCCAAACTGACTTATTTTTTCTTCTACATTCCGAAACAGAAAAGGTCAAAGCCACATAACAAATTGAGTGTTCATAAATCATCTGGCAGAAAGCATCTCAAATTATGCTCAACTAATAACTTGTAGGATGTCCCAACGATTTGAGAAACAAGCACACACTCTTCTTCTAATGGAATTGAATGCTCCTACACCTTTGAGGTTCTTGAGAAAATAAAATGGCCCACAGAACCTATCATATGCCTACCCAAATTTCAACCAAGTAGTGCGATGGTTGAAGAACCATTAACAAAGTAATGGAGAGCATGGTATCGTTCGGGCTAAGCAAACATAACAGAAGAGCCGGTTGCATAGCAGGATTGATTAATGTTGGCTGAGGATGATAGATGGGATCGAGCTGCGTGGAGTTGCACTATGTGCATGTGCGAGAACTGAGCATATATGCATACTCGTGTTTGCATTGATGCAGTGCATGTGAGGGATCTAGACCCCTCCTCAGACTGTGATAGGCATCTCCTTGCGGCGTGATAGGTGGGAGGGGAAAAAGCGAGCAAACAAGCAAGCAGGGAGAGTGGGAGGTCATGGACATGGAGCTGGCATGAGTGCATTGGACACCCTCCACCAGAAATTGAGCGAGCCGTTCATGAAGGAATATAACCAAAAGAAGTTGGGGAACACGGATCTCTACCTCAAAGGATGAGCCCTTGATGATGGACGTAGCTGCTCTTGTGATGGTGTCAACTGTGACTAGACTAAGCTATATGTCCAGATCATGGTGTTCTATGCTTGTTTCTCCGGAAGGGGAACAATTCTGAGCCTTGTAGGCATGGGAGGCATGGGGAAAGGAAGTGTCCAACACACTGCCAAGACTTGGTAAGTTAGCTTCTTTGCACCGAGAAGAGACGGGGGTTCCATCTGCACTAACATCGGATCTGAGACAGCTACGCCATCCATGGATTGGGACACGACAGGACATGGGCTTGCATCATTGCGTTGGAGTCTCCTCCTCCCCTTTCACATGCACCGATGCCACACCCTCCACCTCTCCTGCATGTGCCGCGGTGTCGCCTGGCCTCCTCCTCCTCATAATAGTTTAAGGAGTTGCCTGACTTCGTATGCTTCCCTTGGAGCTGCTTCAATCTATTTCCAGCTAGGAGCAACTTAGATATTGAAAAGAATAAATGACCTCCAAAGACATCTTCACAAGCAAATAACAATAGAAAGACTGAAACAGCCTTTGCAAGAGAATGTATGCTCCTGCCCCCGCGCTGATCGCTGACCAAGGTCACGGGTCTCTCCTCCACCACGCCAGGATCCGAACCAATCTCCCTTTTCCTTATTTAACAGTTGCTCTTTCAAAAATAATAATAATCAAAAACAGAGATCGATGGACACAATGAAAGGCACCTTAAAATTACCAATGTACACAGTCAGTAGTACTACATGTTGGTAAGCATAGATCTGTTGACAATCAACAAATCTGCTGAAGAGATATGTTCGGCATAGAAGAACAATTATTTTCTTGACATAGCAAACAAAATTATATTTTATTTCTACACATACGAGCATTCCACATGTTCCAGTAAGGAAGGAAGTCTCTAAAGATGGTTAGAAACTCATGAAACTAATAGCACATGATCGATCAAGTGCATCAGAATTTAGTGCCAGTAGCAATTTCATTATTTTCCTAGGGACAACAGAAGCACAAGCTACCCATACAAGATAGCGTCACCATACAAAGTCAAAGAATTGCATTTCAGAATGGTAGCAACATCATACTAGTCATTTCATCATAGTACCAGCAGGATACAAGATGACCTCAAATGGAACTCGAATATCTACACATCTCCACAGAAAAGCACATAAACATTTTACCAATTGCTCACCAGCAGACAATTGGACGATCCAATTCTTGCCTGCCTTGTCCTGGATAAAACTAAATGTGTAAATCTGGTGCTGGTTACTACCCACTCAAAGATACATAACTTTGCTAAAGAACAGACAATTAAAGTACTGAACTGATTGACCTGGAGCCTACTACATTGCTACCGCCAAGTGCAACCAACCATGGAGCACTGAACAAAGACACATAACACTAAACCGATTACCTAATCTAGTAGAAACTGAATCATGGAGCGCAGGGATCAACCCAAGGCTATATATAGATTTATAGCACACGGAAACTTGTGAAGTACATACAGGCAGGGGTGTGAAAAAAGTCAGAGATAGGTAGCAGGTGAGATCTAAGGCATTATTGTCCCCATCAGTACCAAAGAAGAAGATTAAATTAAAGGACAAATAATAGTAACACCTGCATTCTCTTCATACTAATTGCTAGTGAGTGTTTGCAAGCTTTCTTTTTCCAACTAGCGACAACACAGTCAGACGAGTAGCAACTGTACAACACAGCCAGATTGGTTTATTTATCAAATGGGCAATCTTACAATTTCTTTTATCTTTTGTGCTGTTACCATCTTTAGTTCAGATATCGTACATTTCCATATGCATTATGTCTGAATATTCCATATGCTACAATTCAGTAGAGTCTTTGTCTAAACATTCCATATCCGGCGAAGAAAGGAGGAGGGGAAGGGGATTTACCGATCGTGGTCTCATGGAGGAGCAACATCGTAGGGTAACGGGCAACGTTGTAATACGGTGGTGGAGGTCGCCGGTGGGCTCATCAGTGCCGGCGGCCAGCGGAGTGGGAGAAAAAGCCGACGACCAAGACGACGATGGCGACCAAGAAGATGCCGTCGCCGGCAGCAAAGAGGAGGTAGGGGGTGGATAGTATGAGAGAAGAGGAGAGGAGAAGCAGCGTTGGCGGTGGAGAATGGTGGCAGCATCGCGTGGTGGTGGCAGCGGCGGCGGCGCAGGGTGGTGGCCATAGGAACCCTAGAGGAGAGAGACTCGGGTGGGGGAACGGGGGAGTGGAGCCAAGGGTTGGAGCGCTTCTGTTTGTCAGGAACTAGTGGGTTCGGCCCATGGACCAGAACCATTATGAGCCGCTGTGATTTGAAATCAGGCCGCATGGCTCGCACCGCACCAGATCGGTTATCCGCTGAACCCGCTCCAGTCCAGATCATTTTCTTGCTGAACCCGTTTGAACCCGCGCCATTTGAGAACTACACGAAAACCAACCATTTGGACCCTACACGAACCCACCCCAATCCCAGGTTGAGTCGTAAGCAAGAGCTATGGTTACAAAATTTGCTTTACACTGCAGTGCCAGAATGAATTTTGCTCAACTCTTTGTTGATTATCATTGTATGGATATATGCAAGAATAATTTTATGCCTTCGCTTTGTTGATGTCATGGGTGTTTTTTGGAATTTATATACACCATCTACCAACTACAAAACCTCAATTGCTAGAAGTCATTCTAAACACAAACAGTTGGTTACAAATACAAAGGCTTCTCTGCACCGCAATTTACAGGAGGCTCATTTAGACAACTTTGATTTTCCTGTAACCAAAGGAGAAGTGCAGGAATACTACACACACATGAATATTTCCTTTCCTGCAGTTTGGTTCATAGGAATCGTTGTAGGAATTTTGGATGATAGGGAAGAAATTCCTTTGCTTTCACAAGAATCGTACAGGGTTCCAAACATCTACTAGCATCTCTTTTTTTTCTTAAAATTTGCGGATGCCCGAGGCAAATCGAGCTTCATCAAATTAATTAGACAAACAAACTCATCACCCCAGCCAACCACAGCCGCTCATCGTTGCGACTGGGCTGTTCACGGCGTGGGATACGAGAGAAGTGGCATGGTTGGATACTGATTTGTGTTTGATCGTTTTTTAGGGGGTATTTGACCGTTTGTGTGGGTGCCTAAGTTATTTTTTTCCCTTTTTATATCAAAGGACCTGTGAGTTGTTGGTGCTTTTGGTTCAATCCACTTCCGTATATGGTTGACATGAATTAGATGGGTCAATTTATTAAGCAAATACGACATGTTCTTATTATGTTGTTAGGCAAGTTTGTTTATGGAAAAAAGTTGTTAAGCCAATTTATTAATTTTAGTTAGATTCCTTTATTTTTTTTCCTTTTCTGCAAACCAAATGACCAACGTGGAAAAAATCCTGTGTTTTTCATTCCTCTGTTTTTGACCTTGATTCCTTTTCTATTCCCGTGTTTTTTCTATTCCTGCATTTTTCCTATCCGATGAACCAAAGGGAGCCTAATATGTGTCAATGTGATTTATGACCTCAGTTCTGTACTTATATTGCATTATTTCTCTATCTGTTTCCATGACGGGAACACCCAGCTATAACACACTATCAAATTGCAGAATCTGAGCATTTGATGGAGCAACTGAGTCCCAGTGGACCTGTTCCTCAACCCTCATGGTCATTGGATATCATTCCTACGAAAGTAGCTTGCACGCTATCACAGGGATCTAATGTAACTAGCATGGACTTTCATCCTTGTCATACACTATTACTAGGTATGATCAAGGTTGCTAATTTAATATCTAAAAATATATATAGATGCAGTCATAAATTTGCAAGTACAAAATGTGTTTCATGTAATTTGGGTGAATGTTTGGATTTTAACACCCTTATTGATTTTCTTGTCATGTTTACTGCTCACATAGTTGGATCTGCTAATGGTGAATTTACAATCTGGGAGATCGGTACGCGTGAGAGGCTGGTCTCAGAGCCCTTCCAAATTTGGAACATGCAAGCATGTTCAGCACAATTTCAGGTAACAAATTATATATGTAATTTGCTCCTGTTGCTTTTACTTGTAGTCTTGTACCTTGTTTGCAAGCACCTACATGGTTTGATATTATATATGTGGCTCACTAATTATTTTCTATGAGAAAAGCGTGTCGTGGCTAAAGATCCCTCCATGGCCGTTAGTCAAGTTACATGGAGCCCTGATGGATACATGATTGGTTAGTGTCAATATTTCAATCTTTAGCCGGTAACTCTGTATTGCACTTGGTAAATTCTTCGTATTGTGCTCCATTGTTGCTAAGCTTCCTTTCTTTTGCTTTTATAGGTGTTGCATTCACAAAACATTTGATCCATCTGTATGTATACGAGCATCGAAATAAAACACGTGAAGTGGTAGAGGTATGATCTTCTAATTGTTCATCGAACTTCAAGTGTATAGATGTTATATTTCATTATATGAATTGACTTTTGTTACTAACCCATTTATTCTTCATGCCAGATTGAGGCTCATTCTGGAGAAGTTAATGACATAGCTTTCTCCCAGCCAAATAAGCAACTATGTGTTGTCACTTGCGGAGATGACAAGCTTATTAGGGTACCTAACACATCTTAAATGGTTATCATCTATTTCATTTTCCCCTAGCATGGTCCTCTGTAACTTACTTTCTATTTTGTAGGTTTGGGATATGCATGGACAGAAAATATATTCGTTTGAAGGGCATGAGGCACCTGTATATTCTATTTGCCCTCATTACATAGACGATATTCAGGTATGTGTTGTCTGAATACAGTATTTAGGCATTAACATCTCAGAATGCAATGAATATCGACGGTTGCTCCTTGGTCTGTATGCTTCAAAAGTCTACTCAACTATAATTTGAATTGAGGCAGTATGAGCCATCATGAGGGCGATGACTGTATTTTGTGTTCCGGGAGAAATTTATGAGTGCATAGTTTTTTCAAGCACATCAGCCTTTATCTGGTGTACTGATACATGATTTGATACATGGTTTTATTGTGTTCCTTGCAGTTTATTTTCTCATTTTCCCTTGACGGGAAAATGAAGGCATGGTTTTATGACAATGTGGGATCTAGGGTGGACTTTGATGTTCCAGGAAAATGGTGTACTACAATGCTCTATAGTGCCGATGGAACTAGGTAAACATAGATGTGGTATTTTGCTCACTAGAAGCGTTTCGATGTATTGTCGATGTAATATTTACTTGATGTCGATTTGAAGGTTGTTCTCATGCGGAACAAGCAAACAGGGAGACTCACATTTGGTCGAGTGGAACCAAAGTGAAGGATCTGTCAAGAGGTCATATTCTGGATTTCGTAAAAAAACATCTGGTGTAGTACAGGGTGTCGTGCAGTTTGATATAGCTCGGAATCACATTTTAGCTGCTGGCGAAGATAATCAAATTAAGTTTTGGGATGTTGATAACACCAACATGCTGGCCTGCATTGAAGCTGGCGGAGCCTTGCCAGTTAGTGTCTGTTCCCTATTATATTATCAACCTTTTTTCTGCATTTGTAGCAATCTAACCTCTGTACATTTTAATAGAGCTTTCCAAGATTAAGATTCAATAAAGAAGGCAATCTTCTTGCTGTTACTACAGTAGACAGTGGCTTTAAGATAATTGCAAATAATGATGGGCTCAAATCTTTACTGTCTTTTGGTAACCTGCCTTCCGAAGTGTTCAGATCGCCATATGAAGCTTCTACGGTGAAGGTAAGCACATATTTTTCGGCCTTCTATTGTCAGGACAGGTTGCGGGTATAGTTTCAGCAATTTTCTATTAAATTAATAGGTCTCAGGTGCTCCAGTTGTCTCGGGCATCTCTCCTAACATTGGCCGAACTGATCACTTAGACAGAAACTATCCTGCAAAGCCATCTCCTGTACTGGTATGCTGATCCATGCCGATCTAGAAGTAAAAAAAGACTTTGACTAGTTTCATATGTGTTAATGCCTCTATGTAAATCTTATAAACAACAATCTAAGCATCATCTAACTTAATCATGATAATGATAGAATGGCGGTGATCCAGCATCTGGAAGCATAGATAAAAAGCGAAGAATTTCAGAAGAAAAGTCTGATAAAGGGAAACCTTGGGATCTGAAGGAAGTTCTAAATCCCCAGAAATTTCGTCTTGATACAATGCTAGAAACTGACCAAGCCAGCAAGGTTCGGCCCATCTTATTCTTGATTGTTTGTTTGTACTTCTTATCACAGACCTTTATTGATCTCCAAGAATAATTCTTATGTGATGTCTGCATGTGCTGGAAAGGTATCAAAGGTGCTCGACGACGATGACCTCCTCAGGGAGATCATTATCCGCGTCGGCTTCCCCACCACCCTTGTCCGTGCTGCCCTTGTCTGCAAGCGCTGGTACCATCATGCCTCTGAACCCGCCTTCCTCTGCCGTTTCTGCAAGCGCCACCCGCCCTGCCTCCTCGGCTTCTACGTCGAGGACAGGGAAGATCATAAAATGGCTTCTATTCGCTTCTTCAGTTTGCTAAATAAGCCCCAAGAGCTTGCTACCGTCGTCCGCTCTCTGCTGGGCTACAGTTGGGACGCCTACCGCGGCGCGCCGGCCAACTTTCTCTGCTCCCGGAATGGCAGAGTCTTCATCAGCTTGTACGACCAGGTCAACCGTAGCAAATTTACAGTTGGGGCGCACAGTCCATTATGTTCTGAGAGAGGCCTGACTGTTGTCCCACCATTCCCACACATTGAAATCCAGGATGGCTATTCCGGCACGATGAATGATCTCTTCTCGGTAGAAGAAGTCAATGACTTGTCCTTGTTGCATGTGTCGGTGGTGTCTAACATGCAGAGAACAAAATCTACGGTGCACGTACATATGTGGCGACATGGTGATGGTGTGTGGCGCACGTATCTTACCTTGGACACAGACCAGCTCCTTGATCTGCGACGGGAACCAAAAGCTGTGCTCGCCAACAATAAAATCTACATAGCAAGCGCCCAGAGCGACATTGTTGTCTTTGATTTGACTGCCTCGAGCATATCTATGTTTCAGCTCCCACAAGGGGTGGAGTATGGAGATAGAGATACCATGTTGGCACGGGCTCAGGATGCTTCTGGTGTGTATCTCATCCATGCAAAGAAGCTTCAGCTTCACATTTGGCTCCACAAGGGGGACAACTGGTTGCTGGTGGACACCATTTGTTTGCGTGAGATGGTTGCTAATATGTGGATTCCAGGTTACAGGGTTGAGGATGAGTCCTACGCTCCTCTCCGGATAAAGCATGTGGGGGACTATGCTGAGTTTATGTTCTTGGAGATGGGTCGATGCGCACTTCAATTAGATGTCAAGTGCATGCAGTTGCGTAAAGTGTATATCATGGCAGAAGAAGAAGTGCAATTGGGTGATATCCATCCTCTTAAGATGATTTGGCCGCCCATGTTCCCTGCGCTCAAGGATAATCCTGCAAGGTTTGCCTTTTGGCCTTCGGATGATTTGTATATTGCTTTTGTTCGGGTTACATAGTTTTGCAAGGTGCACTACTCATTGACTGTTTGGTATAGCTGCGGGATGGTGTTAGTATATGATTGATTCTTTAGGCCATTTTTACAGTATACTAGTTTAGCGACATAGATAATGCTTGCATTAAGATGTCTTGTCACTTGTGCATTAAGATGGTGTTAGTGGTGTAATATTACATGGTGTACTATGTCAAAAGTACAAAACGTGTATATAAGAGTTGAAAGTGCATAGCCTTGTTATCATGTTGACCACTTCATTGTCCTGAAATATTATCGCAAACCTGAAATTTTAGCTTCCCATTTCTTAAATTTTGGTGTAATTTTTCACTGCCTACCTTTGTGCTGTGAACCTCAAGCTTATGAGACATTTTCGCTGAACTTATGTATGCGATTGTTTTATTCTGAAACTTATGCATGAGATTGTTAATACTTATTTTTTTTAAGAATGTCACTTAGTGGATTTTATTTTTTTCTTGACACAAGTGGTTGTTGATTTTACATGGTCAGGTATGATTCATCTTATGCATGAACCGTGAAAGTTCGTTTTATACTTTGGGTAGTTTGTGCTTGTGTGTGAATCACATCTTTCTCTTTGGATCTTTGGGTAGTTTATGCATGAACTGTGGAATGCAACTATGAAATGGAAACATGTCAGACTGGAATATGAGGGCATTTAAGCTTACAGGTTGGAGTTTTTGAAAAATAAAATTAATGATAATAAAAATGCTATTGTGATGCTGAATTAACTCTACTCTATCCCGATGCTTTTGTCTACAGCTCTTAACACCTAATGACGAACATACATACTCACAAAGTATAATTAGCTGCTAACTCCATATCGTCTAAAAAAAGGGGACTTGATTATGTGGGTTTAGGCACTCCAATTATCATGGCATAGTTGCTAATCAGGTGCATGTTGCCGGCTGATAGTGACTTGATTATGAGGTAGCTGCTACATTCAGTATACACAAAAGGGTTGCAAAAGTTTCAGTTGAAACAACTCACATCTTTATAGAATGATATGTACAACATGATCCCCATTTACTCTGCTTCAGTTTCAGTTTTGTTAGTAGTTAGTTTCAGTCCCGGATGTTGTTTTTATTCAGTTCCGTCACTTAGCTGTACATATTCTCGTAACCAGATATCTGCCTTTTATTTACCACTACATGAATCACTGGAAGTAGTAGTTTGTGGCTGTCATGTTAAATATGTTGTTCTTTTGCGGTGATTCGTTCTGAAACAACCTGTCAGCTCATTTATATATTTATAAAACCATGCATTTTGATGGTATAAATACTCCCTTTGTTTTTAAACCCTTTTATCCTACCGTAGCAATTTGTTAGTTATTGTCTGTGTCGATGAGAGCAAGATCAGTGAAATAGTTTCTGAAATCAAAAGTAAACTTATTCCAGCATCTGGTCTATGTACCTGTGTGTGCAAATCCATTCATATTCTGATAGTTTTCCATTTGTTCTGCATTTAGTATGGCTCTTGACTGAAATCTTAATGTTTTTGTATTGCTTTCCCAGTTAGCAGTAGTAAAGAAAAACCTAGTGTAGTTTAGGGATGGAGCAATTATCGTTTATCGGTCAAGGAATTTTTTGTTCATGTAGACTTGCAATGTTTATTCATATTCAATACAAACTTCAGTGATGCACTTTTGCCATGTTCTACTAACTTCCTCGTATCATTAGAAGGTCACCTTGATCCTTAGTCTTCTAAGTCATCACACATGTTTAATACACAGTCCCAAATAAATTCATATATGATGACCTCTGCAATCTTCTTCAGCTCCAAATAAATTTTCATGGAGGGGGCAAAGCTCAAGTTAGAAGAGTTGGAGGGGAGCCAGTCAGCACCATTTGATAGATGAATTGCATGTGCAAGTGTACGAAGAGGAGAAGATTGCACAGTAGTCATGTAAGAATAAGAGTCAACTCGAGGCCAAGCTAGCATTTAGGGATGGGAGGATAGAAGAGCTGGAAGGGGAGGTTGAAGAACATGATAAGAAGGATGATGCGCAACAAGAGCTCAAAGTCGCGGAGATAAGATGATCAGATTTTCAGTGGCATCCTCCGGCAGTGTTGGCATTACCTTGGCTGCTGTCTTAACTTGCATTTATGTTAAGTTGTGACTAGTAAGGAATCAACAAGTGATTATGTGAAAAGTGGATGTTGAATTTTAGATCATTGCTTTGTGAATAACAACTCTGTCCGAATATGCTTTTTCTTTTTCATATCAATGAATGGTGTTTTAGATATGTACTTGCAGTCCATGTTTTATGAATAACAATTCTGCCAAAATTAGATGGATTGAAACATAGTATTACATCACAATACAATACCATGTTAATCACCAAGCAAAGTAAATCAAAACTGCACTTAGCAGTCACTTGGGTCCAGCCTTCCCATAAGAGTCACTCAGAGCAACAGTCCAGCCTGAACACGAGCTTCTCGGGCGTCAAGGCCGTGCCCACAGGAAAGTAGCCTGAAATTACATTACATTCAAGCACAGCGAGCTGCATCAACATATACAGCCAACATGTTACAGAGAGAGGTTAATTCAGAGATTACCAAGCCGCTCAAACTGGAACTTGTGGCCGACAATTGCGGTCACAGGCAATGGTACATCATCTGCGCCCTTTACAACCTCTTTTGAGTGTGGGCTGAGATCGCACAGCCAAATCTTCCGATTCTAAGAGAGCAAGAGACGCTTCACAAGAAAGCGACTTGCCAGTCTGTGCATTTTCTGGGAAATGCATACCTAGCAATTAAATTGACAAGAATCGAACTGTAAACATGCCAACGAATAGCCAATGGGTTTCATGTATAGCCAATATATGAATTTATTCTAAGCCCAAGTGAAGCATTGCTTCCAGTTCAGAGCACATGTTTATGCAATTTTTATGTTTACGAAGATGTTTATTGCTTACGTATCAAAGTTGCTGTACTTTTTTTGCGGGCATGTTTATGCAATTTCCTCGATTTCCACTTATGATCCTGCCCAATGAGCACTTCTGAATGTCACTAATCATTTTTTACATGTATCTTGTTCCAGTAACCATTTTCTATAAGTGGAATGTTTATGTAGTTCTGAATAAAAGAAATGGTTCTGAAAGCAGATTACAACTTGATTTTCTTCGCGAGTGATAGGTAATTAACACATATATACATATATACGGGGAGCTTTTTGACTTAATTTGTTGTCTAGCGACATATGGTCTCTGTACATCACAGGTTTGAAAGTAGATCTCACCGAAGGACATCTCATTTGGTCCAGTTTTTGCCCATATATCATCTCTTGTTTTGCTATAAATACTTGAAGTTCTCTGTGATACTCACAAATATTATGAGATAAAAATACCTATTTGCTATATGTGATAAAAACCGAGGAAGGATGGATTGTCATCAAATAGAGCAACCTGTGATTCTTGAATACAGTAATATTTTTTTCTCTGTTTTTTCTTGGATACAGTATTATTACCTGTGATAAAAATACAGTGTTATTACCTGTGATAAAAATACAATATTATTCTTGATATAATGACCTGTGATAACATGAATCTCTGTTTTCGTGTTTGCACATCTAACCCATTTCAGTCGTATACAATACAGATCGTCGTCGTCCATTATACCTTCAGAAAAGGAGAATTTTACAAACATGAATAATATTGCGGAAGTCTCGGTGAGGTAGAGTACATACATATGAACAACTTACTCGGTATGAGAAATAAGATATTGTGTTAATCGAGGATGCTCGGTTCATAGATAACTCTGTCCAGTGGACCACGAAGGAATATTCTGTCACTAAGACAGCCATCAGAACTTAGGGTTCAGGTTGATAACGGAAGAAACACTTGCCGCCAGGGTTCAGATTTGTAATGGAAGACACTTCTAGACTGATGGTGGTTACTTTGTTGGTGGCTGGACATGATCACCCCTGAGCTTGTTGAGGTGTGGACCATTTGCAATTCTGAGCCAGAAGTCACAGAAGTGCCTATCAGGGCAAGGATTAAAAACACGTCGACTGCATTTGCATCCTGGTAATTTGGACCAATATGGAGAGAGAGAAATTCTAGGCTGCTTGACAACAAGATAATTTGCGACTGTCGTGGTAATAATTTTCTCCAAACATGTTTCCTTTTTTCCCTTTTGAGAGTAGTATAGTTTCATCATCAAGAAGTAATACAGCATAACTATTGAACATGCAAAAATAATAATGCTCTAGTGCATCATCACCCGTAATTAACCCAGAATTTGGAATTTTTAACAAAAAGCCGGCCACTCAGAACACTTTATTGATCAGATAACATGATTATATCGTTTAGCCGGAACTTTACATATATCTAATAGAACATGATGTAATTGGTAGGCATGTAGTGGCAAATAGGTTCACCACGCTCTCCGCCTAACAGCTCAAAGTACTGCTGGTCCCAATCAGATGTGTTCATGTGGCACATGGCTGTTGCCGTCACACCTGGTGTTCCATCTTTCAAGCCCTTGAGTTGCACCGTCAAAGACTGCACCTCTCTTGGCCTATGGCAATAAAAAACCTCATAGGGGAAATCCATAGGGTGGCATGGGACCGAATTATTGCTGAATTGGGCGATCTGTGCCACAACATACATGGTGTTGGGGGTTTCATGCCCATGAATTCTTGTAATGGCTGCTCGTGCGCCGCTGACTCCCAAAGATTTGGTAGCGAATCTGGCCATTGCTTCGCGAGATGAGAAGCACATGTGAGGCTCCTCCTTGTCAGCCGGTTTGCCGCATGAATGAAGGGTGTCAGCAACCTGCTTGGCCTTTATCGAGCTGTGAGGTATCTTGTAATGTGAAAGGATGGTTGCCAAGTACTTTGACTCCAATGGAGTATTGACAGAATTGACAGACTTTGGTGAACCACCTCGTGCAAACATGGTCCCTTGAGGCAGTACAGTGCCAACGCGCAGATTCTTCTTCAAGAACAACATGCCAGTTTGAACTTTTATCTGGTGGCGTCTGGCTTGTGCTTCAGGAACAGCAGAAGCTGCATAGTTATAATTAAAAAATAATACTCAAAAATATCAACATGCAAAAATATCAACAAATTAAGAGCTTTTATCCGGCCTGAACCCTTGCTAAAATTGGTTAGGTAGCGCAAGTACTTACTTGAATGTTCATGGTCTGGATCCCAATGTACCGCATAAGTACTATCACCAAAACCATTTTCTAGGAAATAAAACACTGTGTGATGATTCAGTTCGAACACATTAATTAAGTTTGGTAAGGGTAACACATGTGCTTACTTGAAGGTGAGTGATCTGGATCCCAATGTACCGCATAAGCACTTGCATCAAAACCATTTTCTTCTGCAGAAAATAACAAACTATGAGGTGATTCACAACTAACATTTTTGCGGCTTGTTTCAGATAGCATATGCACTTACTTGAAGGTGAGTGATCTGGATCCCAATGTACCGCATAAGCACTTGCACCAAAACCATTTTCTTCTACAGAAAATAATAAACGATGAGTTGATTCACAATTGACACAATCTTGAAATGGTAAAGATTGCATAAGTACTTACTTGAAGGGGCATGATCTGGATCCCAATGTACTGCATAAGCACTTTCACCAAAAGCCTTGTCTTCTATAGGAAATAACACATATGTGATATATGATTCAGACTTGCCATACGCAAAATTTGATAAGGTAGCACAAGTACTTACTTGAAGGGGCACGATCTGGATCCCAATGAACCGCATAAGCACTTTCACCAAACCCATTTCCTTCTGCAGGAAATAACAAACTATGTGTTGATTCCCAAATAACACATGCTCTAGTTGTACACATAGCATGGTACTTACTTGAAGGTGAATGATCTGGATCCCAGTGCACTGCATAAGCACCCTCACCAAAACCGTTTTGTTCTGCAAGCAATAACAAGCTACATGAGGTGATTCAGACTTCACCCAATCTCAACTTGGTTAAGCTAGCAATAGTACTTACGAGAAGGAGCATGATCTGGATCCCAATGTACCGCATAAGAACTTGCATCAAAACCATTTTCTTCTGCAGAAAATAACCATCTATGAGTTCATTCACAACTAACACTTTTGCGACTAGGTTCAGATAGCATATGTACTTACTTGAAGGTGAGTGATCTGGATCCCAGTGCACCGCATAAGCACTTGCACCAAAACCATTTTCTTCTACAGAAAAATAATAAACCATGTGTTGATTCACAGTTGACACCATCTTGAATTGGTAAAGATTGCATTAGATTAGTACTTACTTGAAGGTGAGTGATCTGGATCCCAATGTACCGCATAAGCACTTGCACCAAAACCATTTTCTTCTGCAGAAAATAACAAACTATGAATTGATTCACAATTAACAAATTTGCGACTTGGTTCAGATAGCATAGGTACTTACTTGAAGGTGTGTGATCTGGATCCCAATGTACCGCATACGCACTTGCACCAAAACCATTTTCTTCTACAGAAAATAATAAACCATGAGTGGATTCACAATTGACATCATCTTGAACTGGTAAAGATTGCATAAGTACTTACTAGAAGGTGCATGATCTGGATCCCAATGTACTGCATAAGCACTTTCACCAAAACCCTTGTCTTCTGTAGGAAATAACACATGTGTGATATATGATTTAGACTTGCCATATTCGAAACTTGGTAAGGTAGTACAAGTACTTACTTGAAGGGGCACGATCTGGATCCCAATGCACCGCATAAGAACTTTCAGCAAACCCATTTCCTTCTGCGTGAAATAACAAACTATGAGTTGATTCATATAATTAACACATGCTCGACTTGTTAGATATAGGTACTTACTTGAAGGTGCATGATCTGGATCCCAATGAACCGCATAAGCACTCTCATCGAAACCATTTTCTGCAGGAAATAAAAAGCTATTTGAGGTGATTCAGACTTCGCACAATCTCAACTTGGTAAAGCTAGCACTGGTACTTACTTGAAGGTGCATGATCTGGATCCCAATGTACCGCATAAGCACTCTCACCGAAACCGTTTTCTTCTACAGGAAATAAAAAGCTAATGAGACGATTCAGACTTCACACAATCTCAACTTGGTAAAGCTAGCACTAGTACTTACTTGAAGGGGCATGATCTGGATCCCAATGTACTGCATACGCACTTTCACCAAACCCGTTTTCTTCTGCATATAGACACACATATGAGTTCTGTTGGGTTTCACATATATGATCGATCAAATAAAATTGCACGCGGACACGCACACAAAACTTTGGCCAAGGGAACATCTCACACCCTAAAATTTCTCTTTATTTCTTCTTTTTATTCTCCACGATTCAGTCTCACAGCATGACGTGTGTTACTCATCAAGCTATAGACACAGGTAGTGTACTAGTGTTGGACACGTCTAACAAAACCTGACCGGACTTGATATCTGCTAGTACAAATTCTACTCAATTATCTTTGAAACTGACACGGGCAAAACGTACCTCAGAGCAAACTATCTAGTACTACTACACGCTTGCCAGCTAGCTTGCACCTAATTACTATAACAAGTTCATTCACAATAATCCTTGACTTGACTTGATACAGATAGCATATATATGTACTTACTTGAAGGAGCGTGATCTGGATCCCAATGCACCGCATAAGCACTTTCACCGAATCCATTTTCTTCTACAGAAAATAACAAAATATTAGCTGATTCTAAATCAACATATTCTCGACTTGTACAGATAGCATAGGTACTTACTTGAAGGTGAGTGATCTGGATCCCAATGTACCGCATAAGCACTTTCACCGAATCCATTTTCTTCTGCAGGAAATAACAAAATATTAGCTGATTCTAAATCAACAGATTCTCGACTTGTACAGGATAGCATAGGTACTTACTTGAAGGTGAGTGATCTGGCTCCCAATGTACCGCATAAGCACTCGCACCAAAACCGTTTTCTTCTATAGGAAATAACACACTATGAGATGATTCAGACATACGACATTGTCAACTTGATAAGGCAGCACGAGCACTTACTTGAAGGTGTGTGATCTGGATCCCAGTGTACCGCATAATTAAGAACTTTCACCGAAACCTTTTTCTTCTACAGGAAATAACAAAACGTGAGTTCGACTGAGAATTAGCACATTCTGCTACTTGATAAGGTAGCTCAAGTCGTCCTTAATTACCAGATGGTGCATGATCTGGGTCCCAATGAACCGCATAAGCACTCGTATCAAAAGCGTTCTCTTCTGCAGGAAATAACAAACTATATGAGGTGATTCAGACATGAAACAGTCTCAACTTGGTAAATCTAGCACTGGTACTTACGAGAAGATGGAGGTTCAACCCTGTCGCTGGACTCACCAAAGGTGAGCAGGAGCAGGAAAAAGGCTATTGCCGTAAGCTTGGTCGTCATGTTTAGATCAACTACGAAATTGAATTCCGTTGGGCGAGGAAGAAGGGATGGTCTAGGCGCCTATTTGTAGTGGAAAAAAAGCGGTGGTAGCAAACAAAATCCACAATTTTCTCTATTTATTTACTATGTACGCTGTGGTTTGGAAACAAACCATAAGGATAGAAAATGGTTATATTCTAGCTGGAATAATATCTCGCCACGAATGCTCCTTACCCTTTTTTAACTGCAATAATATCCTCCAAATCACGCGCTTTAATCACCAGCCCATAATAAGCGGATTAAACCCCCCCCCCCACCCACCCACCCACAAGCGTGCATGCTGCCTAGTGC